TGTATTCACTTATTTTTAAATTTTATTTTAAGAACTCAAGTGAAAAATATTAAAATTTTTATAGATCATAATAGAGTTTTGAAAACAAAATTTTATATGAGTGTGTAAAATTAGTGTATTAAATGAATACCTGACATATTGTATTAATTCGTTTATATAGTGAGGTATGTATCATATACGATATTATTAATCTTTTTCATGATTTCTATTCCCCTTCCTAATTAATTCCTCAACATTTGGTTCCGAACACGTATGCTAGAATAGGAATCAATTACTAGTTGCATCTATTTTTCAAAACCAAGGGATGATGATCCATCCATCCATCGATGATACACATGGAAGAACATGCAAAGCAAGAGCATATACTTGCATAATATCCCAGGTGGCCTGTTGTAATTTGTTGAAAAAAGATGACCTACACTACACTACACTACACATAAAAGTTATAACAAAATATTAGAATCACTTATCTTTAATAGGACGTGCCATTCTTGTTGCAGCATATGCCTTATGCCTCCGGCCCTCATGAATCATCCATCAACTTTTGGAGAGAGGATATGGAAGTGGATGGAAGGGAGTGGATTTCAATCCAATATTCTTAAACCTAAAGAAGGCAAAAGGGGAATTTTAATTTCCACTAAAATATAGGATATTCCATATATAGCTAGCCACCTCCTCTTGTTTTAGGATTTACCATCAAAATTTAAGGTCTTCTAGAATAATAATAATTGTAATCAATACTAGAAAATAAAAAAAAATAAAAAAAAAAGCTACGACCACGTAAGAATTCAACGGCAGTTAGCTCAAATTCCGTCGTAAATAAGTAACTGCGACTGAATTTGTCCATTGCAATGTTCGTCAACAGAAATCGCATCACTTTTACGCAACTGCTACATTTATTTTGGTCTAAGGTTTTTCATGCCCTGTTTTAGGCCAAAGTTTTATGCTTACCTTAGGATGTCGAAAATGTGTGTGACACAAATAGGTCAAGAGAAATTGAAAATCGAAAGTAACGTCTTTCAATGTTTTGTTCAATATTTATGAGTCTTTCTTACTCTGAGAGCAACATATGATAATAGAAACTAGAAAGCAAGTTATACATGTTCTATTTTAATCCATCTACCTCACAAAATGAACTTAAAATCTTGGAGGAAATTAGCCAGACATTTACCATAAGGAATTTTTTTTTCCCATCCCCACAGAACTTTGTATTAACTGCAGTTATTTTTCCAGTTGAGGGTAGACTTACTGCCCCTCCAAGTACCAAGAAAAAGAAGGAATCATAAAATTATATTATTCAAGCATATGCAATGTAGGTCAAACTAACCTGTTAAGGGTGCATCTGCTAGCCAGATCAAACATAAACAAAATTGCTCCTAAATCATTACAAGCAATTAGGAGATGATTTAAGTGAGTTACTATCCATTTAAAAAACCATATAATCAGAAAAAAAAGAGAGAAATATGTTGCCAAAAGTATATATTTACGATTGATTGAATTGTTCGTTGTACATTTTATCCCTCGTTATAACTTTTTTTCTAGTAATGAATTAATCTGGAATCATATGCTTAGAATAATTTTGGCTCACATGCTTTGGAAGGTCAGACCAAACATACACTGAAACGAAAAAGGGAAAGCATTTGGAGAATTAACACGTATGAATATTGTTGATTGATGCATGTTAGACTAGTGTATAATTGAAGAGAGGCATCTCATTCCGAAACCATAAGCTAATATACAAACGCATGCAATGCAAATAATCATTCAAAAGCAGCCCTGACGATGCATGCATGTCAAGAATAATGGATAGATTGAGGAAATACCCTCGTATCTAAATGTCATCATCAGATCATGAATATCTATATACATTTGAGATCATTTTCCATTTTCAAGTCCTTAAACACATGTTTCGGAATAGACCAAAAAAAATGAGAAAAGATATATATATCCTAATAACTCATTCTTAGTTTTTTTTTTTTTTTTTAAGAGTAAGAGAATAACCCATTCTTAGTTAGTTTTCTCCAAATGAATAAATTCTTGATTGAAGATGCGCAAACATTCATATTTTGTAGGGTAGACATAGATTCCTTGAAAATTTGTAACTTAATTAATTTGATTCTGTAGGGTAGACATAGATTCCTTGAAATTTTGTAACTTAATTAATTTGATTCATGGAATTAATCACAAAAAAATACTAATAAAATGATCAACCGGGTCAATTGGAACACATGCTACTTAATTTATTATCAAATTAATGAATTTTTTTAGGAAATCAAATAAAGGCACTTGGTTACAAAGAAATGTGACAGCATGTATAGTTGTTTTTTTTTTTTTTTAATAATGATACATAGTTTAATCGACAATTACATGGATTTTTTAAAGAAAAATTATTAAATACACTGATAATAAAATTTTTTAACTTCACAAACAAAATTAAAATAATTACACATGTCCTTTATATATTTAAAAAATTAATTTAAAAAAGAAGTGGGACACATATTATCATCTAAACCTCACTTATGAAATTAAAAAACTCTACTATTAATGTATCAAATAATTTTTATTTTCAAAAGCTACAAATTAAGTTTTGAATTTAGGTCTCTCTTTAAGTTAGAGATGACAAAATGAAATCAAATCCAAAAATTCACTTGAAAAAGTTTAAATTCATACATACTTATACCTGATTTGATAAAAAGATTCAAAGAGCATAATTTAAGAAAATTTGAATTTGAAATAGGTTAACCTTACAAAATAATCTAAATTAAAAATTGTCTAATCCTAAAATAATTTGAATCCGAATTTGAAATAATCTAAGTTAAAAAAAAAATCCTAAATGTAAAATTGCTCACTCTTGAAACAATTCAAATTTGAAAAAACTTTAAATTCAAATCTAACCAAAACTAAAAAAATATGTCGAAATGATCACATTTTACGTAAAATCTAAAATTCATCTAATTAACTCAAATTTAAATCAATTCCAAACTCAAAAGGATCTAAACTCAAAATTATACAAATCTAAAAGTCTGATCCCATAATATCTTAACGTGGACCTTTTCATTTGTCTCCTCTATTACAAGGTGAATACAATTCAAACAAGCTTTACTAAAGAAAAATGAAAATGAAAAGATAAAATTGGGGGAAAAGAGACGATAGGAATTACAGCAAAGTAAAAGCAGCATTGACCACACTATACATGGAGGCTTATAATTAAAATTGATCATTGATCATAGATTGTGGGGTCAAAAGGATTTGTGTGCAACAGAGAATATGAGATAATAATGTAATTAATATGCAGAGGAAAGGAGGGGTGAGGTGGGTTTGGGTTGGGTAACTGCAAGGGCGCACCCAAAAATGCTAATCCGAATCAGACCATCATTTTCATGGCTTGTCATTGGTTTGGCCGACCTTAAGGCTTAGATTTCCAGACAACTTTTCTTTCCCCTTTTTACTCAAAATTCTAACTGGATATGTCTGCATGGCTTTCTAAATTTAAGTTTAACTATTGGATAGATGGCTATTACATTAATACAAGTAAATGTAAAGAACTTCTATTTTACCAATATATTATTTACAAGCAAATGCAATGATAAACTCGTCTCATCAATCTTGCTTGTCTAGTTACTAGTACTATTTTATTTCCACATTCATAACTCAAATGCTCAATTCAAAATTCAGCTCAACCTTTACAGGCTTGTTTATTTCGGGTTAGCTATTCTAATGACGAAATAATTGCATGTATAAGGATTGTTAAAACCGCTAAATTATTATTGCTTCTTTAAGTAAACTCAAAATATTGTGTAAAGTGAAAACTGAAAAGATGTATGAAAAGAAGAGAGAGAAGGAATGGAGAAGCGTATCTTTGAGTCAGCTTCCTTGAGCACGTTGTCAATTTGCCACAACTGTAATGTTGATTTTGTAATCCATGTCTGCCAAGAAAGAAAGTAAATTAAGGCTTGGGATTTTGAATTTAATTTGTAGTTTGTGGTGTAGGATCGATGGGATATTGGGATTTGGGAGGTCTCATTTCCACTAGTTGTGGGGAGAGTAGGAATAGAACAATGGAACCTTTCTTCCCCACAAGAACCAATACTGTTTCTGCTGCAACGACTAATGGCATATATAGCTGCAGCCCCGGAATATCTAATTATGCCATATGCTTTTGGATACATTATTTCTGCAATAACAGTGTACTAAGAGGAGCTTATCCTAAGTACATAAATTTTGAATGGGCATGACATCCAATTACTTTATTCTAAAGGAATATTTCCACTCAGATTATATGGGCATCATATGATAAATGACCTGCCGCACTGTCTGTTTGGTATATCTTCACTGCAGTATTTGTAGCATTTCCTGCTAATTAACTGGCAAACGCATTGTTCCGAAAGTATAATGTGTAGATCTGTGATGGGAGAAATTCCAGCAATAGACCAACAAATCGAGCAGTCAAAAGACTGACATATCGATCAGTAATCCAAATGTGTGACAGAATAGCTTGTATTAGCTTAAATACATTTTGTCTCATTTTAATATATATTAATAATTCAATCAGGAATAACCAAAGTGATGCTTTGAAATAAGTTGAAATTTTAGCTATCCTCAATTAGTGGAAATCAGGCTGGTCTAATGACAAGTCACCTTTGTGTTCTTCTAAATCGATCAGCCAATTAACTTCATTTTCACAAAGGAGCAGTTCTTGACATGCCATAGAGACATCAATTCTGTCCAAGGGTGCCCCTGAAATATATTAAGCATGCGTCTTTTAGAACGAGGTTGAGAGAGTAAATTAAGGTAGTAAACCTCCACGATCCTCCTAAATGACAAAATTATGGCTAGTAAAGAATCACTGTTTAACGAATATATATATATATATATATATATACATATATATATGATTCTGTATGGTCCCACTGCCATCCACTTTAATTCCCACTCAGTCAAAATCTTCATGTTGTCCAAGAGGTAATTACATCTGGTAGCAGTTTCGTCATTTTCCGGCGAACCCTGACCACCCCCGCACCTTTAAGCTTTCGAGTGGAGGAAGCATAGGATATAAGTGCAAAGGATATTTTAGAATGTGCTGTCAAGGCACATCAATAATATATTCCCTTTCCTCTCCATATATAACGATTTCCAGGGCTTCCAGTAAACACTCACTGGGCTATTCACATATTCGCCTACCACTTTCTTTCCTCTCACAACATTTGCTTCACCTATACCTACAAGAGAGAAAGATGGTCAAGTTCTCTAAGCAGTTTGAAGGGCAGCTTGTTCCCGAATGGAAGGAAGCTTTTGTTGATTATTGGCAACTCAAAAAGGACCTCAAGAAAATACATCTCCATAATGATAATAACACAGCCCCCAAGACTCAAACCACTTCTTTAGCCAATAACCTCTTATCTTCTATAGGGATGTTCTCTTTATTCGGTGGCCAGCGTAGAGACCATGGTGTTATTCAAGTACTCTTTCCCTCCCTCTCTCTTCTCAAATGATGTTTCTTTTTTTCATTTTAATGCTATTAATTAACGTGGCGTTTCGATGTGGACAGGTTCACAAGAAACTCGCTGCTTCCGCTAGCAAAGGAGATTTGTATGAGACAGAATTGCTAGAGCAGTTTGCTGATACTGATGCCGCCAAAGAATTTTTTGCATGTTTGGACATGCAACTTAACAAAGTGAACCAATTTTATAAAACAAAGGAGAAAGAGTTCCTGGAAAGAGGAGAGTCTTTGAAGAAACAAATGGAGATTCTGATTGAGCTCAAAACTATTCTCCAGCAAAAGCGCAAAGGAGCTTCAGCCCAGGAGGACTCCAAGGAGGACGCTTCCATTTCTTGCACTATCTCATGTGGTATACTAATCATCATCCTGTCTATTTCAATGCAATTGACATGCGAAAACAAATTACCAATACTATATTTCAACTTTGACCTGTCAGTCTCATCCATCCCACGTAACTTAATACACGCAGATATTAGTTTCACATATGTTTTCATGAATCCTGTATGTTTCGTAAGGTTTGCTAGAATGTATTGAGAGGACAATTGAAAAAACAAATGAAAAAGAGGGAGGGGGTAAAAGAACAAGAAAAATCTTCAAGTCCTATAATTTCTTAGGATCCCATTTGCAAAAATGATCTGCAATAAATGAGTCATTTTAGACACTACTTAACCAATAAAAAAGTAGGGTATTTGTCATTGAATTCATGACCTACATTACCAAGATATTAAACTTGTCTCTGTTTTCCTTTTATGCAGAGGAATCTGTTAAGGACAGAACAGAACAAGAACAAGAACAATTGCAAGACAGCTACACAGATGAATTGGAAAGGAATGATGTGTCCTTTTCAGACTCTCCAAGGTCAGATGAGATTGGAAAACCAATGGGAATGAAAAGAGAGGATGGAAAATTAACAACACTTTCAGGTCGAGTTTTCAGTTGCCAGGGAAAGAACTTAAGAATAAACATTCCTCTGACAACACCATCTCGTACCTTCTCAGCCATCAGTTACTTAGTTCGGGACGATTTATTCAACCAGTCTTCAAAGAAATGTGGGCCTGAAGGGAGTAAGCTGCATATCAACAAGTCAAAGTTGCTTCATGCGGAGAAGATGATAAAAGGAGCTTTAATAGAGCTGTATAAAGGATTGGGTTATCTCAAAACTTACAGGTATCATCAACAGATACTCCTATTATAATAATGAATTCAAAATTAGAACGAGAGCCTTACCCCCTTTTTTTTTTGTTTTGGCTGTGATTGTGATTTTTCAGGCACTTGAACATGCTTGCTTTTATAAAAATTCTGAAGAAGTTTGACAAAGTAAGTAAATATAGAACTTTTTAGAGTCTTTGCAGACATTCCATTTCGATTTACATAAATAACTGAAGATGAATTCTCTTGTCTCCAAATGGAATTTCAGGTTACTGGAAAACAAGTTCTTCCCATTTATCTTAAAGTTGTTGAGAGTTCCTATTTCGACAGCTCAGACAAGGTAAAGAACTGAAGTTGAAAAACTACCTAGTAAAAATATTAGGTGCCTATCAGGCATAGGTCTGTCAAGGAAAATATTTCCATGGATGTTTGATGTTTGCCACTGGGCATTTATTAATCTGATTATTTGCCGACAATTTTAAGTGGCTATTGATCCTGTAGCGTGTGTCTCAAAAGCATATCTAAGATTTATGTAAAATGAAACATAGATATGCTTGTCTGATATGTATCAGCACAACTTTGTACACCTGCTTATTAGTTTCACAAAATGACAGGTAATGAACTTAGCAGATGAAGTTGAGGATCTCTTTATCAAACATTTTGCTGATGAAGATCGCAGAAAGGGTATGAAATATCTTAGACCACAACAGCGTAAAGAATCACATGCTGTAACCTTCTTCATTGGTGAGTTCCTTGCAACTTTTGCAAAACTAGGATTAACAGCAAATAAAGTTTTTCTCTAGAAAGGGAAAGCATCAAATAAAACTTTAAAAATGATATTTTCATTGGTGGAAAGCTTTCCAGCATGATCACTTTGAGAAATAATAGGTTTTAGAGAAGCAAAAGCATGGACCCATTAGGGCACCAGATCTAAAATGCAGTGTCAAGTTCACTTTTTTGGGTGGACGAAAAAGCATAGTTTCATGCTTCATGGATTATTGAATCTTTAAACGAGACAGTCCTTTAAAACCTGCAGCAAGCACTATTCAGTTTCCAGTGTGCCGTACCTATGTATTTTGCACTTGGACACGACCAAATCTGGGACTGATCTCTATGATCATGTTATACACAACAGCAAGTTCCCAAAATATTTCATAAAACATTATTAAATTTTCCACTATTTTATCCAGAAATCCGTAAGGTTTCTACATCCGTTTTGCATGTTTAAAGTGAAGATCCAACATTAATAACTGCCCTTCGTTGTGCATAATGCAAGACTGAAATCTAGATTATATCTAGTATATATTTCCATTATATCATACTAATCCGCACAAACACCTATTGAACAATTCTTTTATACTTGACGTCTGTATTTTTTACTTTTAATGAAACATTTCTTTTCCTAGTTTAGCAAGGCTGAATTTGAATTAAACTAATTTGCTTAAAATTTAAACATACTCAGGACTCTTTACTGGTTGTTTCATTGCCCTCCTTGCGGGATACATCATTATGGCTCATCTCACTGGAATGTACAGAAGAAAACCAGATTCAATCTATATGGAAACAGCCTACCCTGTACTTAGGCAAGTAGTGATTTCCATTCTGGGTAACATATTTTAAGATATAAAGTTCTTATCCTCTCATAATGTGCACGGCAGCAACTCATCCGATTAATACTCTCTTTCTGCAGCATGTTCAGTCTGTTGTTCCTACACTTCTTTTTGTATGGTTGCAACATTTTCATGTGGAGAAAAGCTCGTATCAATTATAGCTTCATCTTTGAGCTAGCTCCAACCAAGGAGCTTAAGTACAGAGATGTGTTCTTAATCTGTACCACTTCAATGACAGCTGTTGTGGGAATCATGTTTGTTCACTTGTCACTAATTACAAAAGGGTATTCACACACCCAGGTTCAAGCAATCCCAGGTCTCCTGTTATTGGTAAATTTCCAATCTTGTGGCACTTCTTTGGATGCCAATATGATGGACTGGTCATGTTGCAGAAGTTTTTAACTTTGTCGTCTATGTGCAGATCTTCTTATTATTGCTAGTCTGCCCTTTCAATATCTTCTACCAATCAAGTCGTTATCGTTTCCTTTGCATGATAAGGAACATAATTTTATCTCCTCTCTACAAGGTACTTTCTTATTAGGGTGTTGTAACCAAAAGTTTTCAAGTTGGAGAAATCTGAAAATCTTACACTTGTGGCCAGGACAAAACCAATTTCCTAATAAATTACAATTATTTGTTTGCAGGTTGTCATGTTGGATTTCTTCATGGCAGATCAACTTTGTAGTCAGGTTGGTTTAACTGCTAATTAAGTTGCAAGTACCCTTTTCTGTGAAAGGATAGAGAATCCTGATTAGTAGATGATCAGATGCCTAAAATCTGATATAATCACTTGTTTTCGAACTGAAGGTACCAATGCTTAGGAACCTGGAGTATGTGGCTTGTTATTACATAACTGGAAGCTACAAAACTCAAGACTACGGATACTGCATGAGAGCCAAGCATTACAGAGATCTTGCTTATGCAGTGTCCTTCTTACCCTATTACTGGAGAGCTATGCAGGTAAATTTTTGCTCCCCAGAACTTGGTAATACCAAGTTTTCCTTTTCCATATAGTTAATTTATTTTGGTTGGATGTAATCTTTTGAAATTAATCTCTTCTGACAAAAAAAAATGCCTTTTGACTCCTTGCAGTGTGCTAGGCGGTGGTTTGATGAAGGACAGACAAGTCACCTTGTCAATCTAGGTAAATATGTTTCAGCAATGTTGGCAGCAGGGGCCAAAGTGGCCTATGAGAAAGAAAGGAGTATCGGATGGTTGTGTCTTGTAGTGGTCATGTCAAGTGCTGCAACAGTGTACCAATTGTATTGGGACTTTGTAAAGGACTGGGGTTTGCTTCAATTGAATTCCAAGAACCCTTGGCTAAGGAATGAACTAATGCTTCGGCGAAAGTTCATTTACTACTTCTCAATGGTATATGTTATGGCCTCCTCTCACTCTCTCCCTTTCTAGAAGAAAACTAATACCCCTTTAGAGCCATTGGTAATGAGTACAAATGGTGTACGAGCTAATCTATCATATTTAGTTGTGATTAGACAAGCTAACAACCAACTTGTCCATTTTGGATGAGTAAGAATTCAAGATAAGTCACAAGGAGGAGAACAAACATATTCTTCAATAAATACTGATAATGCCATTTCACAAACAAAAGTAAGATTCTTAGTCTTACTCATAGTAGAAAACATGAACAAAAAAAAAAAAAAAGAAACAGATATTGCAGTCTTTTGATTGAAGAAATGGACACTGTCAGAAATTAAAATACACATTAGGAACACTGCTCATTATCTTTTTGAGCACAAGTACAGATTATCTAAAAAAATGGAGCCTCTTTGAACAAAATTTTGCATGACATGCAGGGATTGAACCTTATCCTCAGGCTTGTTTGGCTGCAAACGGTTCTTCATTCAAGTTTTGAGCATGTTGATTACAGAGTAACTGGGCTGTTTTTGGCGGCACTTGAAGTCATTAGAAGAGGATTGTGGAATTTCTACAGGTAAACAACTGATTGTTCTTTGATATTTCCTGAATATTTGCTACTGCAGCCGTTGGTTCCCATCAACATGCGTACTTGCTTTGAAGTTTGAACAGAACTTATCAACTTCTCAAGCTCTAATGAACATACCTTCCAATGGTCCAGGTTGGAGAATGAGCATCTAAACAATGCTGGCAAGTTCAGGGCAGTCAAGACAGTACCACTTCCCTTTCATGAAGTAGACGATGAAGACTGATGCCCCATTGGAAACGGTTGCTCTTTTAGAATATGATTCGGGTCAACAGTATTCTTTTATCAGCAGAAGTTTTCCAGGTGGAACCATGTTGTTCTTATTCAAATTGATCAACAAGACATCAACTTTATTGTTCCAATGATAATGGAAAACAGTTTATACTTGTATACAAATTCTTCAACAAGCAATAGAAATTGATGCAAGTCACTCTGTGTTATCAACTTGTTAGCATCTTCTTACATTAAACATGATCATATATGATTGCTCTTGTATTTTCTCTTCAGAACCTAAGAGCTTGGCAAAACTCTTAATCAGGGGCATGTTTAATCATTAAAGTGCTACATAACAGAGTTGTCAGTTGAGGTCGTGTGTGAAGTGAATATCAAAATACGCCTTTGATGTTGAATTTTTTTCGTTGGATACTCACATTAATCGGAATATGATAAAGTGGACAAGCCATTTCTGGTTAGTCAGTAGTATATCCAATACAATATCCTTCACAGCAGACAGTAACATATTCACTTGACATTAAACCATTAATATCAACGTAAATTGTAAACCACTAAAGCCCCCCGAGCCAGAGCCCATATCTTAATTCCTCAACCCTCGTACCATTTCTAAGCGCATCTGAAACGTGGGTAAGATAAAGCTAATTCAACCTTACTGAGTCCAACTCCAACAGCTAAACAATACAATGGCTTCAACAACATGCGGTATCTTCTTCTCCTTCTCTCTTTCGTTTCCAAAACTTACCTCTCACTCTCTCAATCACAAACCCATCATTTCCCTTCCATTTCCCAACTCCTTCAACCCAATTTCCAGGTAATCCTTTCTGGGTTTTTCTTTCTCTACCCGTGTCTGAATTTTTCTGTTTCACTTTCAAATTTCACTAATTTTTACGTTGCTTTACCTTTTCTTTTATTCTTTTTGCAGCCTGAAACTTGCACATGCGTCAGTGGTGCCACCCAAGCGAGTTTATCGGGTTTTGGCTTCTGATTCTACAATGGACCCACATGAAGATATGGGGAGTTCGAACGCGGTATGATAAATCTGCTTTTTCTGTAGTCAAATTTTGAGCTTCCTTGTTCATCCTAGTCTTTTCTTACTCTCTCTAAATATCTTGGAAATATGTTGCTCTTCCTCATGTGAATTTCGATCGGTAGACAAATTTCAGAAAGATAATATGTTTTGGACAATGAGTCTGAAGCGAGGAGAATTATCCCAAAGATGCTTCTTTTGAAAAGAGGGTACGGTTTAAACGATTAAGTTTGGAGTGGAGAGAATGTAGAAGAAGAGAGTTCTATTGATTTACCTTTACTACGACTATCACACTTCTTATGTGTGTGTTTGTGCGTGTGTGCGTGCGCGCGCGTACACACGCACACACACACATATATACATATATAGGGAAACTAATCAATCCATGTGATGATTCCATGCTTAATCATCACAATCCCCTTGTGAAAATTCAATGTGGTTTCCTTTCTTCAGCTACAGTCTTCATTCTGGCCAGAAAAAAACTATAGTCTTCATTCTCTTCAATACTTACGGCATCTGGTTTGATTATAATTTACAATTCAAGTTAGCAGAAGATCAGATTGTGCACATGAGAGGTTCGAGATGTTTGGATACAACTTCATAATTAAGAGAGTTTAAATATGCAGATTTAGGAAGACAATATGTAAAATTCCCTCTTTTTCAAAAACAATTCTTGGAATATTTGCAAAAGTTGAGAGTGTGCAATCGTGTGTGACAAAAGAGGAGTGTTATGTTTTCTAGTGGACTTTAAAATTCAAGAAAGCATGTTGTGCTAGTATTCTCCTTGCAGCTGAGTTGGGATGTGGTGATGGTGCTGTACATTATACTGCTAGAGATCAAGCAAAATATAATATCCTGTTAATTGTTCATAAATGTTTTCCATGTTATGCATGATCTTTGTGCAGGATTCAACTATTGACATAAAACTGCCAAGAAGAAGTTTATTAGTCCAGTTCACTTGTGGGGAATGTGGCGAAAGAACAGAGAGGCTCATAAACCGTCTGGCCTATGAACGGGGACTTGTTTATGTACAGGTAGTTTTTTTTCCTTTATCTTTTTGTTCTCTTTTTCTTATCAGGAAAGATTCTTGTTGTATGTTTCTGGATGATTAAAAGGATTTCTAAATATCCATCCAATTGAATTGTTTGACTAGGACTTTCTGTGGCTCATGTTGGTGTTTATAAATATATTTATGACAAAAAATGTAGACATGTATCAGTGTTAGGTTTGTCTACAGCATACATGAATTGGTTTTTTCTTACATCTTGTAAAGGATTAACCCAGCACTTTCTGTGGGGAACCCTTTGGATTGCAACTGTCAAAATTATCAGCATAACTTAAATTTAGAAGACAGAGGCCTTCCTATAGTGATATAAAGCATGGCAACATGAAAATCATATTTGATCTGGTCCACTCTGATTTTCTAGATTCTATCTATTCCCATAAAAGATATAGAATTGAATATTAACCTGAATGTGTGGTCAAATTTTCATTATTCTCCATTTCAATATTAAGCTTTCAGTTTTGTAGTGGTTCATTTGTTTCCAATTTATACTCTAGTATAATACTGATTCCTATTATGGTGTTTTGTGTGTTTGACATGCCATTATTTCATCCCATAATCGTTTTATTCTGTAACATTGACTATTAGCAACACCTGATTTCTACTAGACCAAAGCTGTTACATACCTCATTGGAGTTAGGCAAGATTTGACAATTTACATTGTCCTGCATTAACCTTTGAGTTTGCCAGCCCTGTGTGTAGAAAACAAAGTTGAGGTTTGACATTATGCTATATTTATCTAATCTTGATGTTGAATGCAGCAACATGTTAACTGCTGCATTCATTTTTTTGAATGTGTAAAATGAGTGTCTAACTTTTATCTAGAAACCCCTATAAGTGATTTTAAGATTTGCTTCTTGAAAACAAAGTCTTTGTTGGTTGATTTTTTTTTTTTTTAAAAAAAAAAAAAAAAAAAACCAGAAGCAAATAACAAAAGTATCAACCAAATAGAGCCATAGCTTTTTTGTTTAAGCACTTTTAGAGCATAGCAATAATTGTATCTGTCTGCAGAAGAATTACTTATTATTCTTTAAATTAAGAAAAATGCTTTTGACCTGACCAAAAGAAAGTGCTTATCAGTGTGCAGGTTGTCTCCACTATCACAAATTAGCTGACAATCTTGGCCTTGTGGTTGAGTATGACTTGAGGGATGAAATGTAAAGACAGATCAAGTTCAAACAGCAACAATGATGTAGGTAGTCCACATTTTTTCCTCCTAGATGGTTTCATCATGACAATTATGATTCAAATTAATCTTCATTCTCATCAACCATGTAATAATAGGATAAGAAATGCAAAAATGCTACCAATATTTTGGTTCTTCAGCTTTGGTCTTATTCATGTCTATTTCTATTAATTTTTCAAATTTATCTTAATATTTGTGATACAAATGAAATAATATTCTCTGTTAGGTATGACAGAGAAAAACGAAATGAGAAAATGAAAAGTAAAGAAAATTATGACAAGTAATCACGCCTCATTTTATAAATTCCTAGAAACTATAGCCTGTAATAGTGATAAAAATGGCAATAGTTAATCCTGTCCTTGCCCACAAAGACTTTCCTCCTGCTAGGAACAATGAATCTCCTCCATTCTGTAAGTCATAAAAAAAAAAAAAGTAATGATTAGTCTCCTATGTTGTAAAAACCCCAATGCATCCAATTTCTTTTTTGCTATAAATAAGAGGAAAAGTAATTTTATTTGTTGATAGAACGCATTACCAAATTGAGACTTGGTGATGGTGCTGGCGTTGTGTCATCTGTAGTTGGTACTGTAGGCGGTGCTGGAGGGCTTGGAACTGTTGGTGCTGGAGCTGGTGCATGGTGCCTCCTGTGCCTGTGCCTTCTCCTTCTCCTGTGCTTGCTGGGAGCTGGTGCTGGAGCTGGTGGCAAAATAATGGGTGCAGCTGCTGGTGGCAACTTTGCTGGTGCCGGTGCTGATGGTGCTTGGGCTGGTGCTGGAGATACTGGTGGTGGTGATGCCAGTGGTGGTGGAACTGCTGGTGGTTGCACTGGAGCTGTGGTTGGAGGAGTTTGAGGCGGCTGTGGTGGTGGAATTTGAGGAGGTGGGACTGTTGGGCTTGTAGCTGGTGCAACTTTTGGCGCTGGGGTTGTTGCAGGTGGGGGCATAGTTGCAGGTGGCTGCGCTGGTGCGGTTGGTGTGGTGGAAGGTGGAGGTGTTGTGGTTGAAGGTGGGGGTGTTGTGGAAGGAGGAGGTGTCGATGTTGAAGGTGGAGGTGTGGTGGTGGTTGGGGTAGTGGAAGGTGAGGCGGCTGGTGCTTGTGCATTTATAATGGCCAGTTGAAAGCTGAGACAAGCTAGAATGAGAGCCCAAGACATTGAAGCCATATTGTTTGAGATGGGAATTGCAGTGGAGAATAGGCTGTAATATATAAACAGAGAGGAATGAGAGTTTTGGAAGTTGGTAAAATGTCGGAGGGAGAAACGTAGTGTTCATTTGAGTGTTACGTCTCTTCTAATATTGAGTTGGCCTCATGATTAATTGGAAAAGTTTGCATAGCAGGCTGGCACCTTGGTTGGCCGTTGTTTTGGACTTGAAATTCTTTCTTACTAATATCGCCTAATCGCCATTCTTATGACACAATAACTACTAACTAGGCTTTCCGGTTCTCTTGAGGCCTGAGGGATATAGATTATGTTTTGCTTCATAAATGACAATTATCTTGGTTGGAAGCAGTCATCTGCTGCTCGAAAGGGCTGGTTTAGTTCTTTTTATTTACTCGTTTCTTTGAACAGCAAATTTTTCTGATATATTTTTATGATGATGATGATTGTGAGATATCAGGGTTAGCTAAGAAATGGAGTGAAATGAGAGGGAAAGGACGCAAATGGCAAAATTAGCAAACCTGTACCTACCATTGGTGGACCTCGAACCTAAACACTGGTCAGAAGTCCCCATCAAGTTTAAGGAGATAAGCAAGCCAAGAAAACTTTCTTTTGGTATCTCCTTTTATTTTATTTTATTTTGTAAATATTTTACTCGGTTGTGTTAGTGAATCAATGTCTGTTTAAGAAAGGCTTTTGAGAGGCATTGAGATTGATTTCAGAGTGCCTCATCTCAATATAAAATGATGCAACAGCCAATTGAGCCATTTTGGTGTTGATGCAAACACATTATCCTCCACCAGACAGGCTGCCAATTTCGAACTCATTGCAAATTGCAATTCCTTGAAGATAAAAGTACTAAAGTCACTATCAAATCTCCATAAATGCCAAAGACTAGGAACTGTGAAATATATAGGGATCGGAGTAATACCCAAAAATCTGTTTTGGTTAAACTCTTCAGGGATCTCTTTACTTTCTCCCTTACTATTACAAATTGCAATCAAAGCAAATCATTAATTTAACCTTTTTTTGGGGGAACGGGAGGGGGGGTTTGTAAAGCCTTGATGACACATCAACTCTTCGAAACCCTCGTATCTTCCATGTTCACGCAGCAAAGAGCACCAAATCTCCATAAATCCACACTATTACTAAATTTGATTTGCAGGAATTTAGAATTACGGTTTTTAAAATACTTTATGGAACCTAAAAAAGAGTTTGTCGTTTTCCTACAGTTTCTTACAAGCAGAACATCACATGGAAGATGTCGTGCATCTTGGTAAAGATTTTTGATGGATGGCTTGTTATGGGAAGACAAGACGGTGATGGGGCCTGCTCGGCTTTCTTTTCCTTGTTCTTTCTCCTAAGCTGGAAAAACTGTTGCATTATGTCTGCACATTCTGTTGCCAATATCCCCCGTCTGATTGTCATTTTTGGGTGGAATGGATGAACTGGAGCTGCTGGCTTGTCTGTCAGTTCTGAGCCATTTCCTCCTCTCCTATCAGGGAAAAGTCTGCAAATACAGGGGAATTGCCTCAGAAAAGTTCCACTTCTATTTCTTTAGTAGGCCGAAATATAAAGACCAAATGCTATAATCAGCAGATTTTCGTTTTTCTCTTCTTTTTTTTTTTTAAATTTTTTTGGCAAGAATGTCGCAATTGTTAAATCAGGGAAAGTAGAGATTCAGATTTTTTTTTTTTTTGGGTACTAGTAGAAATTCTTACTATATAACAGCTTTATATGTGACAGTGACACTGCCATTCCCAGGTTGAAATGTGGCGTCTTCATATTCTACTGACATGAAACATATTTCAGGGCATCAAAACTGACAAGTGAACTCTACTCCACTCATAGGCCAAACAAAACAAAAAGAAAACTCTACTCCACTCAGCATGCAACTATATTAATGATAAGGCAGAATTATATTCATTTTTGTAGGAGGTTACATAGCTCATGCTCCAAAGTCCAAACAGTCAGTCAGTCAGTATTCCAACTGAAGACAAATGAAACATCTAGTTTTAAGGCATTCCCAACAATGAAGCATTCAAAGAACAAGAGCTCAGATGGAAAAAACGAGTAAAATCTTACAGTATTCCAAAAGTCACTGGGACCAGTAACAGGTAAAGAATTTATTGTTATACCTAATCCAGCTGCCATCTGCTCCTAGAAGCTTATTGGGAGCTCCCCACACAAGAGTGTCGATTCTGGCCTGGAGTATTGCTCCAGCACACATAGGACATGGTTCAAGTGTAACATAAAGTGTTGTATCCTACAGGAACAAAAGATTTAGTTACAAAAATGCGCCACCAAATGGCTTGACTCAGGACTTAGGAGAATCAATAATTTCTGATAGAATACATGGATAAGAGGAGAGATACATGAAAGAAAATTATGATGTTTCAGATTCTTTGATAGTGCTGTTCATTAACTGCTACCATATTTATGTTTACAAAATTAAGATTCCAAGCATTCAATATATCAAGATGAGGAAATTAACAAGCTGATAACGAAGTCATCATGATGATAACCAATGAAGAAAGTCCCAGGAAATACAAATTATAACCAATGAAACATCACTTTCCTAAAGAAACAATCTAATATTAGAAGCTGTTTAAATGACTACATCTGCGCAGTTGCTGAATCTTTCTATCAAATAGTCTTCTTTACTAGAATAACTGTCAATAGAACCATTACAAAAAGATGATATCTGTTCTGGGAATGAGAATTTATTCTTATGAAAGATCATGATCAGACTTAAAAGACTGTTAAAATATTTAGGGAAATTATATTCACTTATCAAGCAAACGTTCATGATACATCATCATTTTGATATAAAATTTAATGCATCCTTAGGAAATAGTAGCAGGTATTGATGGGCAAGTTAATCAAACCTTCCAGCTATAACTACAAAGCCAACACTCTTTTAGACAATTAGGTCCATCACAAGTGAGGAGACAGCATTGCTAATTACTTCACTTCAAGAGAAATGAGCAGGCACAAGCATTTTACTTGTGACCTTCTCATTTGTCAAATGAACCATATTTGAGCATATCATCCATATTATCAGAGAAATTTAGGTGCACATATCTTTTAGATGTTTTCCCAGTAAATTGCCCGGCTAGTGGTGAAACTAGAATTTTTGAGGAACCGCATCTTTAGACACGTTGAGATCCCCCTCCATAAAAAGGTTAATAGAATTAAGAACAGAAAAGAAGACATAGTACCACAAGCCTCCATGAACGTAGTGAGCTCGAAGCTTCTCGTATGCAGATCATTTCTGCATGGGCAGTTGAATCCCGTAATTCCTCTACCCTGAAATATAAATCATCGAATAAAAAATGTTAAGAAATAATAACCAAGAAATCAAACAACAAGCATGCCAGTTTTTCAAACTCACAAGTTGCATCCACGGGCAATTATCTTCCCATGCTGCACTAGTACAGCTCCAACAGGCACCTCCCAAGAATCAGCAGCTTTCTTGGCTTCCAGCAGCGCTTCTCTCATAAACAGTTCATCAATTTTTCGCTGCTCACGCTCAAGTGCATATGCTTCTTCCCATTCATCAAATCTATCTCTTGGGACTTGCTTGGTCCGTTGAAGCTTTCTTTGTTTCAATTCCCCATCCTTACCCTGAGACCCTGATGCTTCAGTTAATCTTGCACCAAAAGGCTGTTCCATCACCCTTATTGAACCACTTCCATGGATTTCGATTTTATCAGTTTCTGCAATCTCTTCTACAACAGGAGAAGTTCTTATGCCTCTGGCTGGTAATGGTAGAGATGACTGTACTACCTCCTTGCCTGAAGAGGCTACCTGAATGTTACTCCCATCATGTTTTTCCTTCTGTGAAGTCAATGAAATAACTTCTGATGCAGACATGGTTTCTAATATATTTGAAGATGGTGAAATGTTCCCTTCAAGGTGTCCTATTTTGTCAGTTGACCTCATTGAGTCAGAAACATCTCCTTCACCTTCAGTCCCTTGTCCCAACTGAGACATGACCTCCAAAGCTATGCTGCTTCTTTCCCTTCTCAGATTTTCTTCACTGTTTTCATCCAGTTCCCGACCAGAAAACCACGTCTCACTACCAACAGACTCATTTGGTGAAATCCTTCCTCCGGATCTTGCAGCAGAGCTAGGGGTCTGAGCATGTGAACCCCATCGTAATCGAATGATATCTCCCATAAGGCTCCACAAGGACCCGCCACTTCTCTTTATGACAGCATGCCCTGATGTGGAAGTCCCCTGTGGGATTTCCGCTCCAGGCGGTCCCTGAACAGATGGCTCTGTTACATCCCACATTTCATTGGAGGGTCCCTTTTCTCCAGAGCCCTTCGCTGACTGCCTCGAGTCATGCTTTTTCATCTTTGACTCTTCCTTGCCATATTGACCAGAAATGTTTGGCCCATGCTTATCGACTTCATATGCCAAATTAAAGTCAGAACTTCTCTTCTCCTGTTGGACCTCAGAAGTTAAGACATCATGCCTTACCTTCTCAACAAACTCCCCAACAAACTGCAAGGATGATTCCTCTAATCGTTGAGCAGAACCCTGAGAATCTTCATGGGTAATCAAGTTTAAAGACTCCCCACAGGTCTCACTCCTTTCTCTTGCAAATGGTTTGTGGTGTGCGAATGTAGTCCTTCCTCTTGAATGCATAGATGATGTAGCAAAGCCACTTTCTGAAGTTTCAACGGAAGCCTCCTGAGTGGAAATCCTAGTCATTGAGTCATTGTGCAGGAAACCTCCAGCTATCACTTGAGACTGGGAAGGCATCAAAACTGCCTCTGTGCCTCTCTTTTCTGATTCCACTAAATCAACATAAGACTGTTGTTCTTGTGCTTCTGAAACCAAACTCAAAGATGCTTGAGAATTAGAGCCCTCCTCAGCTTTTTCCCAAGAACTCGATACACTAGTAGGTTTCCCATTCTCTTTTCTTGATCTGGTTTGCTCAACTCTACCACTAGTTTCATTATGTCTTTTGCTTCTCTCACTAGTCAGACCCAAACCTGAAGTGAAATTACTATCATGTTCAATCAATCTTTTTCCATAACTTGTTTGAGAATCAGTAACCATCTCAATATTCTCAGCATGAACAACAGATATATTTGTAACAGCTTGCAATCCTTTCCTGGATTCAATTCTCTGACGAGGTTTTTGATCCTTTGGAACGCATTGCTTCTTTGTTTCTGGATAAGAAGTGAAACTTAAACTTGAAGTATCATCCTGTTTCTTCTTTTGTGTTTCAGACTGCAATGTTGAGGTCTTCTTGTTCTTGGCTTCATTAATTTCACTTAAGTGTTCTGATTTTCTTCTCAATTCCAATTTTTCACTGATCCTTTCACCTCTTTTCTGGTGTTGCTTTCTTGTCTGCTGAAATGAACTCTGAGCCACGGTTGTATCTTCTTCCAAGATCTTCATTCTAGATTCTGACCGACTCTGAACTAGAGTTGTATCTTCTTCCTCAATCTTCATTCTAGATTCAGACAGCCTCTGCAAAGTAGAAATTCTTTCAGCACTGTCTTGGATTTCTGACACTTTCACATTTGCTTCTCCGCCTGTGAATTGCTTCTTTTGAGAAGTTGCCCCAGCATCACTAACATCGATCATTGATACTTCTCTAACATCCTGACTTTGCCTTCTAGATTCAGACTGCCCAATAACTTGATTATTTGTCTGAGTAGGCCACTTTCTTATTTCCCAGTCATTGTGATCAAGTTGCTCTTGGGAATTAGATCTTTTCACATAGTCACTTCCATCATTCTTCACCCTTATTGAATATTCTTGTGAGGATTTTGCTAAAGATTGTATTTCCTCAGCGGATACTCCAGCCAGCTTCTTCTCTGATTTCTTTCTCAAACCCCAACCAACACTATTCCCTCCAGCATTATCCCTCTTGAAGCCTACTGCCACTTGTCCCTCAGTTCCGCTATTCTCATTTCTTATTGATTCCATCACATGACCACTTAACGATTCTTCCACAAATTGCTCCTCCTGTTCTGGGAGTTCAGTATCCTTCTCTAAGTCCCCTGAAGATGACAATGAGTAATAAGATGAACAGCTAGAACTCTTTGTCCTTCCCCTACGATTCTCGGCTCTCAAAGTTGACTCTCTCTCTGCATTCTTTATACTCTTTTCCCTTGACTCAATACTGATGGACTCATATTCATCCTTAGAATCACTCTCCAACAAACGTGACCCAACATTTTTATTCTTCTCCTTACAGCGTTCATATACATGGCTCCCTCTTTCCTCCACTTGCACTCTTTTCTTTTTTCCATTGTTGCATTCATTACCAAAGTTTCTTGTCTTCTCCCCTTGTTCACTTTTCTTCTTCTGGCTGTAGCACTTACTATCATAATTCTTTCTGTTCTCCACTTCCACTGTCTTATATGAACTCTTATTTCTTTCTCCAGTACCTAAACACACCCCATCCACTTCCTCACTCAACAAGCTGATGATGGCCTCAGCGGCATCTATTCCACCTAATGAATACCTAGCACTATTTTCCTCGGAAACCAAGCATCTAAACCTCCCCTTGGTTTTCCTCGCAAACATACTGGCAGTTGAAACCTCAAAAGCAACAAGATCAAGACAACAACCTGGAAAGCGCAAAACGCAGCGGTTTCCAGCAGGCAATATGAGCCTCCTAGAAGGTGAGCATCGAACAATGGCAGATTGCCCTAATCCATATAAAAAGCGAGGGGTAATGGGTAGTCTATCGGGGGCATTGGCCAATGTAGCACAGCAACAACAACAAGATGAGCAACATGAAGAACAAGGGATTGATGATGGAGAGGTTTTCTCAAGTGAGGAATTCAACAAGTTGGAAGAATAGTCGTTGAATGAAAATGAAAAAGAACCATTACTCCTAAGCGACAACACACTTGAACTAAAAATATAAGAGTTGTACATGTCTCTTTGATATCAAGCTTAGGCTTTTAAGTTTTACCTTGATGGAAGTGGTGGGCTGTGGTGTGCCTTTTGTAGCTGCCAGAATTCAGACCAAATCTGCATCCATTTCAGGCATGTGTAGATCAGATTCTCTTCATCACTTATATTAAGATAAGGAAACAAAAATAATAATAATAATAATAATAATTTTTTTCGATTATAAAGATTTGATATTCGGACCGAAACGGACTAAAAGTCTCGAACTGATGCAGGATGGTGATGATGATGACGATAAGAGTTAGTGGGGCAAAATCATTGCGTCGTTTGCTATTATAAATTCTCCTTATTTTATACCAAAACTAATGTGTGTCTCTGTGGGCTCTGCTCGTTATATCCTCTCCACTACCACCTGGTCCTGACTGGTTCTGACCAGACCAGTCACCAGTATTTTACTGGTGAGTTGGGCTTTAATAACAGTCAATTCAGACTTCAAAACTTTGGGCTCTTTCATAACTTTGACTCGATTGGGCTGCCTGCATCCGAAGCCATATTTATCTCCTTATATTCTTGTAGCATATTCTAAAGATATTCTCACACATGGTTACTAACATAAAACCTGTTGAGCTTTCAGTATAAATGATAACCAAAAGTCAAGTTGACGGACAGAGAGAAGAATGATTCATAATGTAATAAAATTTCTTATAAAATAATTATTTATATATTTATATCATTTTTTCATAAAATAATTAGTAATTAATTGTATATCTATAAGATTAGAACATTCAACCCCTTTTGTTTAAAAATAATAATAATACTAATGCAGTTGAAGACTGAGGTTGGTTAAGCCTAGGACAACCCTTAATGATATATGGACCAACCAGGATGAATCACGCCTAACTACAAACTCTAAGATAGTATTTGATATCTTTATTAAATATTAAAAAATTATAGTGATTTTTTATATCAAACCAATATAAAAATAATGGATTATAAGCATTGACATTTAGATCTCAAATTTATTAGATGTCTTTTTTTAATGACGGTTATATGAACTAAATTAACTAAACTTCATATTCAGAATTGTAGTGATTTATTTACTAAAGTAATTGTCTCAAAAAAATTACAAAAATAATTCAATCACAAAGATGAGTTTATTAATGGTTAATGACTGACTCAATATTGTGTTGTTTGTGATAGTACATTGAATGTTTGATATAAATCATTTGTCATCCGATTAAAATTACAATACTTGGAATCACAAATAAAAGATCAACGAGTATAAAATGTTTAAATAACCTTGTCATAGTAATTAACAGTTTAAAGGAACACATCAAATTTCAACTATATATATAACTATTGAAAGAATATTTTATTACTTTGAATATTTAACTTAATAGTTAGTGCATATATTCTCTTCAATGTTTTAAAATCTTCTTAATTTTACTCTTTTGGATGAGATAGATCACCTTCGAGTTACTTATTTGATTCTCCTTAATGTTCTAAAATCTTTGATATGTAAATTAAATTAGAAATGAATATTTTTATAAAAAATGTGATTTAATAAAGATGAATAATGATAATGGATCCATATTTGAGTTTTTACGGATGATACATTAATTAATACCAAACGCTATGAGATTCGATAAGTACCATATAATACATATCTTAATTAAATTCGAAAATGAATTGTTGCGATAATTTTATTAATGTATAGTTAGAATATTTTGAAAATATAATGAAGAATGAATTTTAATCTATTAAATATAATGTATTAATCGGTTGAATAAAAAATTATTAATTTTTTTGTCCACAATAAATTAGTGATTAAGAAGCTATAAAATAGCATTGGAAATGTTACAAATTAAGAAAGTCAATTGGAGAAACTTTCAATATAGGTCATGCGAATGTTCATGTATAAAAAATAACTTATGTTTTAATTTTACACCATGATATTCGGATGCATGACTTAATGACATTAGAATGTTACATCTGAAAAATCTTTTAGTATAAAATTATACTAAGAATTTGAATGATATGGTTTGAAAAAATGTTTTTAATCAAAATTACATAAGGGGATTCAAATTTAGTTCCAAGGACATTCAAATGCCGTAGTCCAATATTGACAGCTTTTGTTGTAACGACCAATTATGTTTCAAATGAGTTGTAACCTTTTCAAGAAATGTCCTTTGACAAGTAAAAAGGTTGCAAGTTGTAGTTATTAAGTTCTAAAATATATGAATCCAATGAAAAAAACAAATTAGTTGAACAAACAACACAATTGAATAATTTAAATCCTAGATCAAATTCTCTATAAATTAAGATGTCAAAATTTTTTTTAAGTGATGAATGAGAAACAACAGTTAAAACCTTTTTCTATTTCTTCCCTCTCGTTTTCAAGTTAAGAGCAAATCTCCTAGGCATTGTTTTGTTGCATAAAATCTTGATTAGAAAAGATATTTCTCTTTCATTAAAGATGTTTAATGATTTGATTTTATTAGTGTAAATTATCGTATAAAAATTCATTATATCTTAAGACTAATCGATCTAATCCATATTGCATACTGCAATTAATGAATTAAAATAAACGTAAAGAACTCAAAAAACAATCTATGCATTCTAGAAGAGTGGTAGGTAGATGTTGATATGGTACTGATTTTCTCTCCACTAGACCCAAATTCTAAAGCCAATAAGTGAGTCAGCGTTACGAGATGATACAAATTAATTAGGTTGCTTCATGGCTTGCATTGTATTTTGCCTTTAACATTATTAACTAATTAACTTACTAACTACCCTATCCAAGTAATGTAACATGACAACACAGCTGCATGGCATTTGGTACATTTTAACCGCAACATCAGATTTGATAAAGGCTATATCGCACAATAAACATCCATCCCAGCACACAGATTTAAATTTACGTAACCTTCATCAATTTTTTTTTTTTTTTGAGAAATGAAGATATTCATGTGTACCATGTATTCATGTCTACATTGCCTGCAATTGCAAAGCTACAATTAATAAATAAAAAGAAATGGTAGGTTTTTTCAACAAGATAAAATTTTTTATGAAATTACAAATTATAATCATAATAAAATATTTCATCAATATATAAAAAATTTATTGAATATCAAACAAAAAAAAATCAACAAATTAAAAATAATTAAATAAATCTAATATAAAATTAAATCAAATTCATACACAATAAAACTTAAATATAAAATTTCAAAAATTTAAAAATTTTCCTTAAAATTAAACTAACACCTCGTTATAAAAAGAGTTTACATTAAACAAGCGGATGGATGGATCGAAATTGGAAGGGGCTAACAACTTCTCTCGCCCACTATACATGTATTATATATATTCAAATAACATTGATGAAATTGCTACTACTATTAATTAATTAATTAATTACTATGACATATGAGGTGAGGGCAGTTTTAATTTCAAAAAATGGGACTGCAAGTCTTTCCTTAGCCTTTGCCATTTTTTTTGGGTTTCGTTTTTAGTCTTCAGAATGCGACAGCTGCTCTATTTTCTCACGCCATGTGCTCGATTCGGATCCAACTTTGTTGCACTCCATCGTGTCGATAATGATGATGTCAACACAATTGGTTTCCCCGTTTTTTGCTGTACAAATCAAAGCTACATGTAAATGTCAATGTCAAACTTTCTTTTCTCCAACCGCCAATCTGGACCTCTTCCCCCCTTGTCTTGAAAATTTTGGCAAAAATTAACTGCACATAAAAATCTAAAATAATAAATGAACAGGCATTTTAATCGGACAAATCAAAATGTTGGTGTTGGCTTTCCTTTCGCGACTAGTATATTTAAGAAAAAGATGGATTTGGAATTTTCCATTACATTATTATCATATTTTTATTTCATAAATTTATTTTTTTCTTAAAATTTTAATAATTTATATATTATGTGAATGTGTGAAATGACTGAATATATATATATATTTTAAAGTTAGGGAATAAAAATAATTAATAATATTAATATTAGTATTAGTGCTAGAAATAGCATAAAAAAAGTAAACTATGAAACCTTTTATTTGGATGGCCTTCAAGAAGAAACTTCTTATAAAGAAAGAAAACCAAAAAAGGAAACCAAATCGGTCACCATTGGCAGTCGTGAATATGTAAAAGCTGAAGAAGAAGGCTGTTTCTTTTTATTATTTTAATCTCCAATTTGTGATTCACAATTGAATTTTATTTCTTTTAAATGCCAACTAATATTCTAGAACTATAATCTCTTCAACAAAATCAAAATATTCAATATCTCTTATCATTTTTTTCCTTTTTTTTTTTTGTGAGGTTTGAAATTTATTTTGGGGGTGAGATTCACATTATTTTAGTACTTATTATATTTTATTTTTCTTGGCCTCTAAAAAGGAAAATGCGCGTATAAAAAACACATAAAAAAGTCTTCCCTATAAAAAGTCTTCGTTCAAAGCTTCCGTTGAAGATTGAAGATATATCCTAGAAACAGAGAGACAAAAACTAACAAGGAAGATTCATTCTATATATCTGAATTTCTAGACCAACCCCCCTTATTTTTCTGATTCTTCATTTTTGTTTTCATGTTAGTATTATACATATATATGAGCACATCAAATGAGAGTCTTTTTCGTAGTAATTTGATTAAAAACCGAGTTAAATTATTTCCCTCTGTTTCTGCGTGCGTTCTCTTTCAAGACTAATTCTTACGTGGTTACATATATATTTGTATCTTTAATGTACTGTTTTCCTTTGTCTTAATCTATATGTGTTTTATGCTTTTCTTTTCTCTCTCTGTCTGAAGTCTAAACCCTTTTCGATTTTCATTCTCAAAAAAAAAAAAAACAAAAAGTTTCGTTTCTGGCTGGTTAAGACTACGAGTATTTTCTTTATTCATTTTCCTGGGTTTTGAGCTCAATACTTCAAACTTTATTTGGGTTTGTGTTTTTTGTATTCTGGTATTCCTCTTCTTGTTTTATAATTTTTCCTTTTGGGGTCTCTGCCTTCTTCCTCTTCTTCTTCTTCTTCTTCTTCTTATATTTGGGGTTTGTTGTGTTGACAGTTGTTGCCCTTGAACAAGCTTGGTTTGTTTATATCAGCTGAATTTATACGTTCATATATACTGTATATATATTGTTTGGGTGAAATTAAGATTAAGAGGACAAGTATTAGTGGGGAAAAGAAAAGCTCTATAATTTATTTAGTTGTGAAGAATCAATTGCACTTAGCTTTGGTAAAGAGAGAAAAAAGAGAATGGCTGGTGGTAGAAGGAGGAAGCTGGCGTTGAGCAAGATCTATGGAATTGCATGTGGTAAAGCCTCATTCAAGGAAGACCACTCGCAGATTGGGCGGCCAGGCTTTTCCAGGGTAGTTTATTCAAATGAACCAGATTGCTTTGAAGCGGGAATACGCAATTACTGTGATAATTATGTCAGAACTACCAAGTATACAGCTGCTACATTCCTGCCAAAGTCATTGTTCGAGCAATTCAGGAGGGTCGCTAACTTTTACTTTTTGGTTACTGGTATACTCTCATTCACTCGTCTTGCACCTTATTCCGCTGTCAGTGCTATCGTCCCTCTCATCATCGTTATTGGCGCAACTATGATCAAAGAAGGTGTCGAAGATTGGCGCAGAAAACAGCAGGTTTCAGTTTCACTCTTTTTCTTTTTCAATTTATTATTACTTTCTTTTATCTTTCTCGTTGTTTGTTCATTTCTTTTTACTTACCACTTCAGCTACCAGATAATTTAGTTCTAGAGGATTTTCCATGTTCCCCTTTGCGCTGCTCGTTTTGGTTTCTCATTTCTCTTTATTTTATATATGTATTTGGGAAATTTTTTAAAAAGCATCCTAATTTTATAGGCGAACAAGAGAAGACAGTGGCTTCCTGATGATGGAGTACATAAAATATATATTCCATATATGGGAAGGACTTGTTAAATAGTTTACTTAATTGGAAGTGCTGGCATTTGCCTTATATTATTGTTACAGATGCGAAGAGCATTTTGGCAGTAAAGAGGATCAGAACATCAAATGATTCCTAAATTGCTTCATTCTTTTCTTGGTTGGCACAAAACACACCTGTTTTGCTTTCTTGGTATATTAAGTTGTTGTTTTTAATTGAGCTCTGTGTGTAAACTTTCTTGAGGAGATTATCTAGCTGCTAGTCAGCTTGAGGTCCAGATGCATTTTAGAACTGCAAAAATAGCTTATTCTTAATGTTTGCATAACCTGGGTGTTTTCTTTGTTATTTATGGTTCAATCTGGAATGTCTACAGGATATTGAGGTGAACAACAGAAAGGTGAAAGTTCATCAACGTGATGGCAACTTTCATTATAGTGAATGGAAGAATCTAAGAGTGGGAGATATTGTAAAGGTGGAAAAAGATGAATTCTTTCCAACGGACCTCGTCTTGCTGGCATCCAGTTATGAGGATGCGGTCTGCTACGTTGAGACCATGAACCTCGATGGAGAAACTAATTTGAAACTGAAGCAAGCACTAGAGGTAACTTCATCCTTAAATGATGACTATAACTTTCGGGACTTTAAGGCTATTATTAAATGTGAGGACCCAAATGCAAATTTGTACTCTTTTGTTGGAACTATGGAGTTTGAAGAGCAACAGTACCCCCTTTCTCCTCAACAACTTCTTCTTCGAGACTCAAAACTCAGAAATACGGATTACATATATGGGGTTGTTGTCTTCACTGGTCATGACACGAAGGTCATCCAAAATTCTACTGACCCTCCTTCGAAGAGAAGCAAAATTGAGAAGAAGATGGATCGTATTATCTACTTAATGTTTTTTATCGTATTTATAATGGGGTTTGTTGGTTCTATTTTCTTTGGAGTTGCAACTGAAAATGACCTGGAAAATGGAAGGATTAAAAAGAGATGGTATCTTAGACCTGATAGTTCTGAAATTCTCTTTGATCCTAAAAGGGCCCCAGCTGCAGCAATTTATCACTTCCTAACAGCTCTTCTTCTCTTTAGCTACTTCATCCCAATCTCCTTGTATGTGTCAATAGAAATTGTTAAAATCCTTCAGAGCATCTTCATCAATCAAGATATTCACATGTATTACGAGGAGGCTGACAAACCAGCACATGCCCGTACCTCTAATTTGAATGAAGAGCTTGGCCAGGTTGACACAATACTATCCGATAAAACAGGAACATTAACCTGCAATTCGATGGAGTTCATCAAGTGTTCTGTGGCTGGTACAGCTTATGGCCGTGGTGTTACAGAGGTTGAGAGGGCTATGGATAGAAAGAAAGGTTCACCCCTGGTCCATGAAAAACTAAAAGTTCAGAACCACATTGAGGATTCTACTGATATAAACCCAACCATCAAAGGCTTTAACTTTAAGGATGAAAGGATCATGAATGGAAACTGGGTTGATGAGCCTTGTGCAGATGTCATCCAGAAGTTTTTTCGTCTATTAGCAATCTGTCATACTGCAATACCTGAAGTGGACGAAGATACAGGGAAAGTTTCATATGAGGCTGAATCACCTGATGAAGCAGCATTTGTGATTGCAGCAAGAGAAGTCGGCTTTGAATTCCACAAAAGGACACAAACAAGCATCTCCCTATATGAGTTGGATCCTGTGTCTGGAAGGAGAGTTGATAGGTGAGGATCTCTTCTCATGCCTTAACTAACTGGAAATTGTTTTGCTACATAATCATCTTACGCTATTTTTCTGCCTTTGGCTAACAATGTAGGATCATCCTGATGTCAGGTTCACCTGGCCCCTGAACCATTTATAAGCTTATAAGAACATTTTTTTCTGTTTAATGTCAATAGAAAACAGATCAAAGAAGAAATGAATGTTCTACAGCTGTCTTGCTTATCTTAGAGTTTTAGGTTATGTTTGATGCAAAGGATTATTGATAGCATAGGATGATGATCATCTTATATCATGTTTCATTTGGATCTAAAGAGAGGGATAGGGATTGCAAGGAGGATTACTATCCTCGTGGCATAAGATTATTAAATTCTCCCTAAGTGGAGAGGATTATTTTTAATCCAAGGGATTAAACTTGCGTGTCCAATTATTCCCTTAAAAATTACATCAATAATTTAAATTGTATAAATTTTTAGGAAGGACAGTTTTGACAAATAAATAAATTATCCTATCCTAATCCTTGCATAATCAAATACAAAATAGGATGACATTATTTAATCTAATCCTATTTATAATATTATCTTATCCTATCCTATCATAATCTTGTGTACCAAACATGACCTTAGTTCTTATGCATGCTGTGAAAGATGGATTTTGGTTCTTTTAAAATTTTAGGCACTTGATTACATGAGGCTATTAAGCTAAATATGAGCTTTATGTCATAGAATCCTCTTTCTGATTTAGATTTTTTCTCTTATGTTCATTATTAAAAAGATCGATTTGATCCTCTATTCCTCTTAACTTGCATTTATTGTTTCATATTCCCTCTAATTTAACTGGTTAAATAAAAAGAAAGGAGACAGAATGGTTTATATGTTACTTTTTACATGTGTGACTATATGCCCATCAGCATCCTGGGGTATTGTCCTTAAAATGATGGTTCACTTGTTTAAGAACATTTTGAGTGAATAGTTTCCTTTTGCAGGTTGTATAAACTTTTGAATGTTCTAGAGTTTAACAGCTCCAGAAAACGGATGTCTGTAATTGTCAGAAATGAGGAGGGAAAACTTCTACTACTTTGCAAAGGTGCTGACAGGTTAGTATGAACGAAACCAAAATCTTGGACACCTCAATAACCCTTATTTCCCTATTAGTTGCAATAAAATATCATTATAATGCTTTATCCTATGCAGTGTCATGTTTGAAAGGCTGGCTAAGGGTGGTCGTGACTTTGAAGAGGATACTAGGGAGCACATGAATGAGTATGCTGACGCAGGCCTGAGGACACTAGTATTAGCCTACCGTGAACTTTCTGAAGATGAAAACAAAGCATTTAATGAGAAATTCACTGAGGCAAAAAATTCAGTTAGTGCAGATCGTGAAACATTAATTGATGAAGTCGCAGACCAAATTGAGAGGGATCTAATTCTCTTAGGGGCTACAGCTGTTGAGGACAAACTCCAAAATGGGGTAGGGTGGAATACGTAAGCATAATTTAATCTTTTTGGAGGCAGGGCTGGAGACTGACGAATTTTCTTTTATTCTACCTTGCAGGTTCCTGACTGCATTGACAAGCTTGCTCAAGCAGGAATTAAGCTATGGGTTTTGACTGGAGACAAGATGGAGACTGCCATCAATATTGGGTATGACTTTTTCTGCCACTGCTTAAAGCGAAACCTACTTTAATTTGTTCATTTTGATCTCTAACCTAAATTTATAAATTTGCAGCTATGCTTGTAGTTTGCTTAGACAAGGAATGAAGCAAGTTATAATTAATTTAGACACTCCAGAAATCCAGTCTTTGGAGAAAACTGGAGAAAAGGATGCCATCACCAAGGTAAAATGACTTTAAATTGTTTGTATTGTATTATTGAATGCAAATTTTAGCTTTTTTGAGCTTCTTTGCTCTATATGGCAATAACATGAACTTTTGTACAATATAATGTTGCAATGCATAAGTAGTGTAGCTTGTGTAACTGTTGTCATCACTCACTCTAACGTACCTTGAGTGATATCCTAAATTCCTACATACCATGCATTTTGTGTTTTTTCTCTAGGCCTGTTATGCCTGTGTATCTGTTGAATAATTAACACCCATGTTTACATTGGCTTCATGAAATTATTAGCCTTTCTTATAACTTGATTCTGGCAATAAGTTGAATTCTGAGTCTGCTTTTCCAACCTAGGTTAAATTCTACCAAATACTGGCTGTTTTTATGTCCTCCTTTCTCTCTCTCTCTCTATATATATATATATATATGTATATATAAGGAGATGGATTTGATGTGTAGTGCTTACTAAACCTACAAGAATTGACGACTATTGAGTAGAGAAAGGACAATAGAATGAAGGGATAGTTGAATCAGTATCATCTCCCAAAGAACAGGGGAAAATTTTGTAATCCCGTCTCCCCTCTCAGGAGATTGGTTAATTCTCATTTATCTCTAAATTTGTTATGAGAGGTAAGTCTAAAGAAAAAGCACAGATTTATACTATGACTGCTTGTCCAGTATTATATTCTGCTCATGCTTCTGTTTATTTGTTTTTTGTCTATTATTAATTTTTATGGATTTTGTGCTTCATGTGTGAATATAATATATGTATTCTGTTGATGGGATGATTGTTCATTTAGGCATCAAGGAAAAGTGTCCTTGAACAGATACTTCAAGGAACGGCTCAGGTCACTGCATTAAGTGCGATGTCTGAGGCATTTGCCCTGATCATTGATGGGAAATCACTTGCTTATGCTCTAGAGGATGATATGAAGAAAATGTTTCTGGAGCTTGCCATTGGTTGTGCATCTGTAATTTGCTGCCGCTCTTCACCAAAACAGAAGGCGTTGGTAGGTTCACATGATCTTTTCAGTGATTTTACTATTAATAAGTCAATTTTGAGTTGATTCTTCGTTCCCCTTCCCTTTCATCATGTTTGGTCTTTGCTTCAAGTGGTTATCTGTTTTAAATGTCAAAACTGAAATTCATAGGTTACAAGACTAGTTAAATCAGGAACTGGGAAAACAACGTTAGCTATTGGTGATGGTGCTAATGATGTGGGAATGCTTCAAGAAGCAGATATTGGAATTGGAATCAGTGGTGTGGAAGGAATGCAGGTATTTAATAGATTACTTTCTCAAGTTTAATATTAGCTTTTAACTTGGCATGGAGATTAAGAAAAATGCTTTGATTGTAGTGTTTTTAATTAAAAGAAAGAAAAGAGAATATAATTTTCAGATATCTTGAAAAAGAAAGAAATATTTACAATTTGAGATGGAATATGGTAATGCTGAAGGATGTTAAAATCTCCTGAATTTTCTGATTTTTGTTGCTCACAAACTCCTTTTTTGTTATCATTTTCTTATTTTTAATGCAGGCGGTGATGTCAAGTGACGTTGCAATTGCTCAATTTCGATATTTGGAACGTTTGCTACTTGTGCATGGACATTGGTGTTACAGGAGAATTTCATCGATGGTAATACGTTCATTTGTTGCTTGAGTTACTAGTCATTCATTAAGTTATTTAAATAATTAAAGTTAAAGAGATTATTAATTTGACAGACTGGCTTGAGTTGCATAATAAGGTTATTCCTTCAAATTCAAAGCCTGACTGCTTTATTCTTCTATTGCCAGATATGCTACTTTTTCTACAAGAATATCACATTTGGTTTCACACTCTTTTTATACGAGGCGTATGCATCGTTTTCAGCACAACCTGCCTACAATGATTGGTATTTGTCACTCTATAATGTCTTCTTCTCATCACTTCCAGTAATTGCTATGGGAGTTTTTGACCAGGATGTATCTGCACGGTTTTGTCTCAAGGTAGACTCCATGGTTAATTGATAAACTTTATATGTGTTTTCTAGGCTTTATTCAACATATGTTTTTGGGTTTCTTACCCAACTGTTATGAAATGTTTGCTAACTATTTCTGCTGTTTTGCGACATGCAGTTTCCTCTGTTATACCAAGAAGGGGTGCAGAATGTTCTTTTCGGCTGGCGCCGCATAGTCAGCTGGATGTTTAATGGGTTTTACAGTGCCATAATCATTTTTTTCTTCTGCTCAAAAGCATTGGAGCACCAGGCCTTCAATCATGCTGGGAAAACTGCTGGTCTAGAAATTTTTGGGGGAACAATGTATACATGCGTTGTCTGGGCTGTGAACCTGCAGATGTCCCTTTCAATTAGTTACTTCACCTTAATACAACATATTGCCATCTGGGGTTCAATTGCATTCTGGTACCTGTTTCAAGTGGTGTATGGTTTCTTGCCCCCCAGTTTCTCTACTAATGCGTACAGAGTCTTCATTGAAGCTCTTGCCCCAGCGCCTTCGTACTGGCTTACCACACTTTTCGTTGTGATTGCTACCCTAATCCCATACTTCTTATACTCGGCAATTCAGATGCGGTTCTTTCCCATGTATCATGGAATGATACAGTGGATAAGACATGAGGGGCATTCAAATGATGCAGCTTACGTTGAAATGGTGCGGCAAAGATCCATCCGGCCAACAACTGTGGGCTCCACAGCACGTCGAGTAGCAAGAAGCACTCACCAAAGATAAGAATCACACAAATACAGATGATACTAGCTGAATGATTCCTTTGGGTGGTGAAAATCTGCTCAAACCTGAAATTCTGCCTGCAGTACATGGACATGAATGTAAACTCTCTCTATTCAACTAGAAGGCTCTAATACATAAGTAAAGATCACAGGCAGAGGACGATGTACAGAAGCAACACTCAATATTTGCAAGGCAGGAATAGAGAGCACCCTGGATACTGTAAATTTTGATTCTTTGTGGTGGGGCCAACATACATTTTCCTTCACTTTCTGTACCACATGCTGAGGTTAGAGCAGTGGTTTTAGCTTTTCATTTAGAAATGGATTCGTTTTTTCTGTTTAATAAATCATTTTTTGTTGTAATTAAATGTGTATCCAGGTTTTTTTTAATGAAATTTTTGAAAGTCTTTTTATTAGTATTACCATGGTTTTTATGATGTTAGTGAATTTTAATTATGTTCATATATATCATCATGATTTCTTGCGATTATCAAGAAAAGAGATTTTCTTTGAAGGTGTTAATTTGTGATTTGTTTGATTGATGGTTTAGTTACTTATATACTTGGAAAATTGTTTAAAAACATACTCAAGTCATTAATTCTTCATATTTAGCTCAATCAGATAGGTATATATATAATACTACAACCGGTCGTATTATATATATACTCCATAAATGAAATGAGAAGATACAGTAATACTAGTGGGTATATATATATCAAGAGTTAAGACCCTCAAGTTAATTTTGATGGTGCTTTGGATGTGAACCGAAAGATATTGCTGGAAGGAGATGCATTGCAGATTATTAAGAAGCTAGTTTCAGTGGATGAAGACCTCGCAAATATTGGGTCGATAATGGCAGATGGCAGGTTCAGAACTATGAGGAGGGAAGGCAAGGGAAAGAGAAATGTCCTGATGTTATTAGTACATTGTGATGTTGGGTGTTTAAAATATATATTATATATATTTCGTTCAATAATAAATCATTCAAATTAAAGACGCATAAATCATCAATGGATAAAAAAAAAAAAAAAGAATTGAAATGAAGTCATTGGATTGAATCATGCATGCATATGCATATACTATGTTAATTCCAATTTCTATCGATCATCCCCTGTTGCTACTGATACATAATAATATTCACAGAAAAGCAACAAAATCAGACTAATGATAGAAATTCATTAATTATTTTAGCTATGTTATGCTATGCTAAAGTTTGAGGCCAAGAAAATCGGCTGCCGATTTTGCCATGATATTTGCAAATTCATTGAAACTTAAAACGCCATCTCCGTTGGAATCAGCCTCTCTCATCATCTCCGAAAGTTCACGGTACGTCAAAGGATGCCCCATCTTGGCCATGGACCCTGCAAGTTCTGCCGCGGTAATGAATCCATTTCCATCCCGGTCAAATGACCGGAAAACCTCCAACAGCTGCGCCTGGTTGATCAATATTTGCTCGCTCATGTCGGGCATTATGGCGCTGACCAATTCATCAAACTCCACGTAACCATTCCCATTAGCATCCATGTTGGCTAGCAAAATATGAATTTGATCTCCGCTTGGCTTGAGCCCCAGGGAGCGCAAGAGAGCGGCCAACTCAAGATGCGTGAGGCTGCCATCGGAATCCATGTCGAAGCGCATGAATATGTCTTTCAGTTGCTTCAGTTGGTCGGCCGATTGGATGCTGCTAGTCATCGTGGGCATGGGGCTACTGATATTGATCACAATCGGAGAGGAAGAAGAAGAAGAAACTAAAATTAAACAAAGGGAAAAGCAAAGGGGAAAGAATGTGGTTTGACGACGTCCTTTAATTGTTCTTGTTGGTTTGTTAAAGACGTGGGGTTTTGCTTTTTGTTATTATTGTTTTTCAATTTCTTTGATCAGTTGGAAATTTGGAATGGTTCAAACTTTTACTTTTGCAACCGCGTTTTACTTTTGTAACAAAGTCTGACATAATAATTAACAAGACAAGACAAAAAGATCTCATTCTCGTTTTACTTTTGTTTTGTTTAAAAAATTTTTAATTTACTTTCCATTTTAACCTTTATTTACTTAACTCATTTAAATATATCTAAATCCTTTCAAATTCATAATTTTTAAAAATTTTATCAAAATATATATTATTTACATATTATTTATATGCGTATACATACATATTTTTATCTCTATCTATATATTTATTTAATTATATATTAAAGTTTCTTTGAAAAGAAACTATCTATCAAGGTTATGCTTTGGGGACATTATTGCGGATTGTTGAACTCAATCTTCCATCTTTCTATTACTTTATATATGTCTTAATTTATAAATGATTTATCAAATAATTTTTAAATATTGAATCTTGAAATTTTAAAAATCGCTACATATACAAATTCAACTTATAAAAATAAGTACTTTTTTATTTTTTTATTTTTTTGATGAAATTAATGACGTGACACCATCTCAATATGAAATTGAAGCACAAAAGAGCATAAATTGTAAAAAAAAAAATAAAATGGAAGTTGTTATGCAATTATTTAACTTATAATAAATAATAAATGTTGTTTACTTATTATTTGAAAAGAGAGAAAAAAAAACATACTTACTAACGTTCTCAATTTCATATAATTAAGATAAAAATAAATTATTCATGACAAACAAAATAGGTAACAAATATTTAAATATTTTAAAAATTAAAACACATTTAAATAAGAAATTTAATTAATTTTTTCCTCACCTCAGGGCTAGTTGATAATTACGGTGATCCACACACTTCCACATGCCACAACCTCTACAGAGCAGGTGACGACGTCCAACACCAAAAGAACACAAGACAAACGAAAATTTTGAGAAAACTGAAGAGATAGAAAAATGGTGGTTTCTCTGCCAATGCCTCAAGCCCTTACCTCGCGCTCCTTTCCCATTTACTCTGCAATTTCTTCGAACGGTGAGTCTTTGAGATCTTATCGATATGAACATCTTCGATTTGTCTTTTATGCTAACAAGTTATTGTATTTTTTTCAATAAAATTTCCAAGTTTATGGACGACATGGGAGTGGAATAATGGTGAGGAATCGGCTAACTGCAATTTTTTGTGCTAATGGTAATGGGCAGAGGGAGCGGAACCTCCGTCGCAGAAGGTTCTTTACTCTTTTGATTTTTTGCTTTGTATTTTATGAACCTTGTTATGTGTTCTGACTGTTAATGATGCGTTTCGCGTACACCGGATATTGAACATGCCATCCAAAATATCTACAAATCTTCAATTTCGTCTGCTCTTCTTTTATTTCTTGCCAAAAGTGCACAACTTTTGCTCTAATCCTTATTTTTCATAATTCTTCTATTGAACTGTAAAACAATTGAATTCTTACTATCTGTTCTATGTGTGTACCTCTAGGATGTGTTTGGTACACAAGATTATAATAGTATAGGATGAGATGATATTATGAATAAGATTGGATTAAATAATGTCAACCTATCTTGTGTTTGCTGCGATAGGATAAGGTAATTTATTTATTGTTTAAAATTATCCTTACTCAAAGTTTATGCAATTTAAATTATTGATGTAATTTTTAAGGATATAATGGGACATGTAAGTTCAATCTATAGATTAAAAACAAACCTCTCCACTTTGGAGGATTGAATCATCCTATACCAAGAGGATGATTAATCCTCCTTGTAATCCTATCCCTTTTTTAGATACAAACCAAACATAATATAGGATGATTATCATCCTATCCTATCCATCATCCTATGCACCCAATGCACCATATATATATATATTTATATATAGTCATTTCTATTCATCAATTGATGCAAACTCCACTCAAACTGTTATGATGATGATAATTCTGATTTCTTTTCTGGAATGGACCCTAAATCTAAGCATTTGACATCTGCACTTAAGCCTTCGAACTATTTCTCAAGTCTTTTGTTTCACTTAACCCGTCAACTTTGGCAATCCAGTGAGTGTCCCATTTTGTTTAAGCATCCACAGTTTGGTTCTTGCATCTTGCATGCTTATAGATTAAATAATACTACTATCATTTCTTTCAGGAAGGTGGTTGAACACGTATGTCTGCTCAAAGCAAACAAGGATATATCCGATGATGAACAGAAGGATATGTTGGATTACCTTTATACATCTCAATATCAGATGCCTGGCATTGTTGCAGTATCTTTGGGTTAGAACACTTTCCATTTGGCTGCAACTAGCTGCCTATGAGTGCCCTTTTTTCCTTGACAGTAAATAAAATTTCCATTCCATTCTTGTGTGTATCTAATTTACAACAAGAAGGGATTGAAGATAGATAATACAAATTTAGAGGGAGAATCAGAGATATACAAAATAATTTATTAGTTGTAATCAGAGTATGAATTTCATTTTATAATATTTGACATGCAATTTGTTTTTTTTTCATTTTTTGGCTATCAGGCATGCAATGTAGTTTCTGTGCAAATTGACATACAATAAAAGCTGCTAGTTTTGAATAACCTAAATACATGTAAACCCTACAATTAAGCCCATAAAATCTAAAATAAAGTCCTGGATTATTTTTTTCATCTAGCTTCTTTTCATCCTGCATTAGTATATCTGGCAAATGATTAGTTATACAAACTTTTGTGTGGTAATCTACCCATCTTCCTTGCTTCTTGAGTAGATCTTTGATTTGATTAAGCACAACAGAAAGCCAATCTCTTTCACATGTGATCCATATAAATATCCCTATTTAATGTTTGATTTAGGCTTAAGATTTCCTCAAGGATTAAACTTGTGCTTATACTCTGCAAAAGCACCAGGCTGAATGTGGATATGCTATATACGCATATACAATTGATAAATCTAACATATCCTTCTCTTCTTCATAAAAAATCCAGCTTATGTATATATTTTATCTACTCCTTTAGGCCAAATATCTGGTCGAGCTAAGGAAGATTATACTCATGCTGTCTTCATGCGTTTCCGAAGTAAGGAAGACCTTGCAAAGTTCTATGAGAACCCTCTCTACCTGGAAGTTCTGGAGGAGCATGTAGTGCCTTACTCTCATGTATGCCCTGACATGTAAACACCAAACTCAATTGCTCTAAATTATTTTTTTCCTCAATTTCATTGTGAAATAATCTGAGCAAAAATGCATAATTTAAATTGTTCTGATTATAGAGTTCAAAGTTGCATGCATCTTTGCAGGGTTTAATGAATGTGGATTACGAATCTGAAGTGGAAGATGATATCTTTCCCGTATTTCGTAAAGGAGAGGTTGGATGCTATATACCCTCTGATTTCCATTGATATCATTAATTTTGCTTCTACAGAGTTTCTCTTTTGAGTGAAATAGAGAATGATATTTGTCCTTTTTTTCCTTTAAAGGTCTAGGATATCAAATGATTGAATGCTGAAAATGATTAGATGTTCATAATGGATTTATTTACATTATCCTGGTCATTTCCAGTTTCTGAATTCTGCCTATAACTTCTGCAATAGATTAATATGCTTTTGGTGGCAGGAGTTCAACTATGGTGTAGAGTTTATGCTTTTGATTGCATTTGTTGAGGCTGAAATTGGCGGACCTGCAGAAGATGCACTAATGTCTCTTCGAGAGCTTACTATGGAATGCCCATCCTTAATTCTCCAATGCACTCAAGGTGTGTGCAATGAAAAGAGCAATGTTGATTCAGTATGCTGCCTAATGATCCTCCCTGACATTTGACCACCTTTAAATTGGGAAGTCTGTTTGGGCTGTGATTAGGTTATAGATTATATCTATATCTTATCCTTGCTGCTTTTATCAAGCCAATTTTGCCATAGCATATGAGGGTATAATATTATAGTTATAGTTTAGTGATTCTGTTGTATTTCTTATTGCTACAATTGTAGGTTCAAACTTCAATAGCAGTAAGGAATATACACATGGAGTGGTGATACGGTTTCGATCACGTGGGTCCCTTTTCATGTTCTTTAACATTTGATTATTTAACACTTTGCTTCTTTTGACTGCTATTTACTGGCATGCTTGCAGTTGAGGCCTTCGAGATATTTTTTACCAGCTCAGGATACAGAGATGTAAGGAGCCTTATGCTGTGTATTTGAAAAATTCTAATATGATATGATACTTTTACCTGTCACTTTGTCTTCATGTCATTTTCACGAGTATGTTTGTACCCTCTCTACTTTAGTCTTGAGTATTTCAGATATTCTTGGAGATGGTGTAAATTGCTGAGAACTCTGTTCCTCTCTTGATATTTTGGCTATTCTTATTTTCATCTTCTAGTGATATCATCTTGTAAAGTTCTTTTTCTTCTTTTCCCAGCTTCTACTGTTCTCAAATTCTTTCCTTTAAAAATGCAGCTATTCTTCTTTAAATTTGTCATCATTCTTGCCAATTTTGAGACAGGAACTTGAAATTTTAAACAGGCTTTAGAAACAAAATTATTTTTTATATGTCAATTTAAAATCTTTTCCAGAGTCAAGTTCAGGCTGTTTTGCTTTAATTTTTATGGAGAGATCATATTCCAAGCGACTAAATATACTTTTAATTTGTGAAAACAGGTGTGGAAATCCAAGTTCCAACCAATAGCCAGGAAAACATTAGCCATTCATTTTTCTGTTGATCCAGTTGGCACTGAGATAATGTAGTAAGAATTGCTTCCTTTTGATTTTTGCACTCCTGATGATGTAGTTACACATGTGCATGAGAATTAATGGTTGCACAGGTTTGTAACACATCCCAACTTCTTTCTCACTGCTCTCCCCTCTCTTCTCCTCACCTAACTAAAATGCTGTTCATTTCATTTCTCCGCAATCCTTCTTGGTACCTTTTTGCTTTGCTTGGTTTTTAGGTTTGATGTGCTTCCTAAAAATATATCAAAGTTCTCATACATGCTTACTTGAAATTTATGTAGGGATTTTGGCAAAAAGTTTTAATAACTCAATCCAGCATTCCACCCCCCTCTTAGATTGTTCTTGTGCTTGAGCTAATAGAAGGATTTAATTAAGTTCAACAGTTTAGTTTTTAGCACGGACTTCACAGAAAAACTAAAGGTTTTGAATATCTTGCTATTAGGATATGGCGTGTTGAGGCCATTTTGAGGCTTCTCCAATGGATTTGGTTTTTAGCTGCTAGTGACTTGGGTGTTTGCTCTTTTGCTTGCTAGAAACTAAATCTTTTGAATATATATATATATACACACACACACACACATCATGTAAATATTTTATTTATTTATTTATTGGCAGTCATGGTAGGAGGTGTGACTTTACCTTGGCTTTTTCCTTGTGGTTGGGAATTTTATAATTAAATCTCTTTAATAAAATTGCTTCTTGCTTTTCAAAAAGTGGTATGTTACTACCAAGGTATTATGAAAATATGTTCGTGGTTCACTGTTACATTTTTGAGCTCACATCTAAAATTGTCGGGAATATCTATGTACTGCACAGATGATTTTTGCATCATTTCAGTCACTGTTATTGTCATACTCGAACATCTTTCTCGTGCACATATTTAGTCAACTATCTTCTTCTATTAGGTTCAATGAATACATAGATACGAGCTCCGACACAACTTTGAATGGTTATGTCAATTTTGTTTTTTGCAGAACATTCTTGGAGAAATGAAACAACTTTCAATCAATACTTAGGTATTCTATTCTTAGTGATGTACCTCAAGATAAGATATAGTCCTTCAAGGGACCTCTAACTATGTATAAAGTTCAGTTTAAACCTTCACTCTTTTCTTTTGTCAATTGAGCTCTCAATCTTTATTTATTTATTTATTATTATTATTATTATCGTTTTGATCGAGTTTTGACAGAATTCAAGCACGCGAGGACACACGAGTAATAAACCGAAGGCCTTGGATGTACCATGACAGATGATGTGTCAAACCATGTTTACTACCAAAAATGCCCACGTATAAAATACCACGTGTCGGACAATGTGGAAAAAAACTAAGATGATGAGTCGATTTATTATCAAATAAAATATTAAAATCAATAAATTTTTTTGATGTAAAAAGATTCATTAAACTTAAATATGAAAAAAAAAAAGATACTTTTTTTCTTCCTCCTTTCGCTCTTTGATTCATTACTCATAAGTCCTAACCTTGTTTCTTTCGTTCTTCCACATCTTCTATTATTTTTCTCTTTTTCTTTTGCTTCCAATCAAGATCATCTCCCTTTTTCTTTCTAAATTTCTTTTTATTACTTTCTTAAATTACAAATGTCTTGCAGTGGCTCTCATGGGTGGGTTGGCCGTGATAACAGGTAGGACTGACCATTGAGACGTCTTTCGAAATGAATATTATTACAAAATTAAAATATTAATTTGATAAAAATTTTGAAATATTAAAATAATCTTTTAATCTTTAAAATTTATTTAAATAAATTTTAAACTTATCTAAAAATGAATTATTTACACTCCAAGAGCACATGCAATCTGAAAACTAAAGTATATGTATCTGTACCCTTTAATTCACTAAGAAATATTTATATTATACGGCTCATTTATTATTTTGCATTTTAATCACCTAACTGTAATTTTCCGTAAAAGGAAAATATACTCTAGCAGTGGGACGAGGGTCGGAAGCGGAGAATAACATCAACCACAGTTCCTATTTCCGGGTTTTAGACTGATATTGACTCGTGTCTTCGGTAGTGTCTCCGTGCTCCTCTGCTCTCTACGGCTCAACTTGGCTCGCTGTGCGTTCAGATTTGTCACTCAGATCTCTTGTTTTGCTTTAGCTAATCGATCCGTTGTCTTCTGGGTATTCTTTTTTTCTTTTTCTCTCTCGTTTGCCAGAGTTCAGGGTTTTTGTTTCAGATCTGCCAAATACACATTGCATTTTGGCTGATTCCAACTTTTGAAGACTAAATTATCATGTAAAAATGCAGAATCTGGTGTAATGGATAACAACGTTGCTAGCAATGGCAACGGGGGCGGTGGAGATCGCTTTCGGAGAATACCTCGACACTCGCTCGCTCATCTCAAGCTGGATCCTTTGGTCACTTATTCTCTCTTCTTTTCTTACATCTTGCAGTTATTTATATTTATTTTGCAACAATTATGTTACATATTTATTAAGTAGTAGCTTTAATGATAAACCCTCTCATGTTTGCCTGATTATATATTTTGGATTAGATAGTGTAAATTAACAAAAAAAAAAAAAAATTGATTTTCTTGTGCTAAAGCTGAGTTGTATGATTTGTTGGACTTAGCTTGACGACAATTTGGAGCAGTGGCCACATCTAACTGAACTCGTTCAGTGCTATAGAAGCGATTGGATTAAGGATGATAACAAATATGGTCACTACGAAAGTATCAGTCCTGTTTCCTTCCAGAATCAGATATTTGAAGGGCCAGATACTGATATTGAGACGGGTGAGATTCTATTTGCCGTGTATGTTTTTGTTGAAAAAAATTAATTTACTGATATACATCTTATTTGCCGTGGTATTTGCTATATTTATGCAGAAATGCGACTTGCCAGCGCGAGACAAATTAAGGCGGAAGATGCTACTGATGATGACATGCCAAGTTCCTCAGGAAGGCAATTTACCAACTCTAATTTTACAAAGGTTGCTCTGGTTAAACATTTATCTCTCTATTTTTCTTTTCTCCTACTTGTTTTGCTTCTGCAGACTGCGGTATTTCCTCTTTTATTTCCCATTAGTGGTAATTTCCTTTCAAATCTGATGATATATTTGTAGCATTTTGGTCAATCTCCCCTCCCAGCTTATGAACCAGCTTTTGACTGGGGAAATGAGAGGTCAATGATATTTGGCCAAAGGATTCCAGAAACCCCTACCACACACTATGGCAGGTTTGAATCTTATTGCTCCTATAAATTCTTTTTGGGTGTTATTGGTTTTTTTAGGTTAATTTCTCATTAAATGACGCATTCCTTCTTGGGATGGTTGACCCCAGTGGATTGAAGATCTCTGTCAAAGTTCTGTCCCTTTCCTTTCAAGCTGGACTTGTTGGTTAGCTTTCCATTCTGTCCCTATATTTGACAGGATGCTCTTGCTTCTTGTTACAGTGTTGTTACTTCACGTTCATTCATTTTACTGTTTCATGGTTTGTCTTAGATAACCCTCTTTTTTCTCACAGAGCCATTCTATGGAACCATTTGCGTATATAATAGGGAGAGGAGAGAAAAATTGTCTGAAGATTTTTATTTTTCTGTGCTACCAAGTGAAATGCAGGATGTAAGAAATAATGCCATTTATGCCCTTTCATTTTATCGAATGAGATAATTTTCAATAAATGATGACCGATGAATCTTGGTTCCTGTTGCTCTTATGACAGGCTAAAGTGCCTTTAGAACCTTGTGGAATATTCTACTTAGATGCTCCATCAGCATCAATCTGTTTGCTAATCCAGTTAGAGAAGCCTGCAACAGAAGAAGGCGGCGTAACCCCTTCGGTTTATTCACGTAAAGAACCGGTATTTGCATGGACACCTGTCACTCTGTCTGTCTTCTTGTTTTAACCTCTCATTTAATGTGCCAGAATTCAATGTTTTATTTCCTTTTTTTTTTTTTTTTATCTGTTAGTGGGATTGTTGTGATCCCTCCTCATCACTTTCTCATTTTGGAGTAAATTCTGTTGACCTGAAGAAAATCAATGTCTTTACATGTAGTATATGAATTTATCTAGGTTTTTGGGTGCTTGATTTTAATTTGGAGCTAGAGTGATAGACTGTTATCCAAAGCAATATTATAGTCTGTTTGGCTCAGTTGGAGGTTTTAAGAGAAGTGCTGTACGATTAGAGCTGTTCCAGAAGTGCTATGGAGGAAAGTGGAAATAGTATTTCTCAAACTTGAGGTAGAAGCATTATAGAATGTGGAAATCTGTTTGGTAATAATTTTATAAAAAATGCTTTGAATGGGGACAACAAAATTTCATCAAGGTTTAAATTTTAGTTTCTACTTGCTTTAGCTCTTTAAAGTTTACTTCAAATTATGGTTCAGTTGTAGTGGTTAAAGTTTTCACGAGCTTCCTGTGAAAGATTTTTTAATAGCTCCAAACTCCTTACTTCAGGTTTTTTTATTGTAGAAGATCTTTTAAAAGGCTGGGCCAAATACTTGCTTACTCTAAAGAGAATCTATTCGGTATTAGTACATGCTTCTAAAATCCGCTTCATCTGAGGAAATAAATCTGGCTTTTATGCTGAAATGGTGTAAGTAGATTGGTCTTTGTTTGGCTGCATGCTATGTTACTGTAAAAGTCAGTTGTTGATACTTCTTGTTGCACAAAAACATTGACATTGGAAGGCTGTCAGGTCGGTGCATTATTTATACTAAAAATATGTGCCATCCTAGGATTTAAATTAAGGGAGAAAGGTGCATTATTTATACTAAAAAGAGGACTTAGGGTTCCCTAAATTAAACTCTTATGGCATTTGTTTTCTCTATCCTCTGTCTAAACAGGTGCACTTGACTGAGAGAGAGAGACAGAAGCTGCAGGTGTGGTCTCGTGTAATGCCTTACAGAGAGTCTTTCGCCTGGGCCATTGTTCCATTATTTGATAACAGCATTGCTGCAGCTTCTGGTGGATCTGCTTCTCCTAGTAGCCCTCTTGCACCCAGCATGTCTGGTTCAAGTTCTCATGAAGGTGTCTTTGAGCCCATTGCGAAGGTCACATCAGATGGGAAGCTGGGTTACTCAAGTGGTAGTTCTGTTATTGTTGAAATATCTAATCTAAATAAAGTGAAGGAAAGCTATACCGAAGAGTCTCTTCAGGTATTGTGTAGTTGCTTTATGGTTTTCTTTTTTGTGGTTTGTTAGTGAACAGCTTGGCTAGATTTTTTTAATGGAAAGACTTGTTTGCATGATGATATTATGTTATTCTGTATTTGCCATTTGGTCTTCTCTTTCCTTTATCCTGTATCAGCATTTTACATTATGTTTTCTTCTAATATTCTGTTGCCTTTGTGCCTTTTATTCTGATATAATAGGATCCTAAACGAAAGGTCCACAAACCTGTAAAAGGTGTTTTGAAATTGGAAATTGAGAAGCACCAGACTCTTCTTGCTGAGGTGGAAAATGTATCAGAAGTTGGCAGTGTGACAAATGATTCCTTGGATCCAGGGGATCCAAATGCTGATACAATGTTTCCAAAGAGTCCTGGCAATGGTCTGGATGGACCCCAGAGCAGCAACTCCAAGTGGATAGCGATTGATGGGAAAGGTGTTTCTGGAAATGGATCTAACACTCAGGGAAATCTGGATTTCTGTGCAGATGATGTAAGCAGAATACCCTTACTCTCATTTTTGTCTTTGGGTTTACCTATGGCATGCCAAGTAGCAATTACATCTTTGCACAGCTGATAGGAAGATATTGGTGGATCATCCTTCTTACCATTGAGTATGATTGCTCTATTTGTCATCTTTTCTTTTTCCATTTTATATCTTAATTGTCCATTCGTCTTCCAATCTCTAAGCATGGTTCGTGGCTCAATTCGCTGAATGCTTATTTAAAATTTTCTGGCTAGGAAAATTATTTTAAATGAAGAAATCAGAGTATAACTTCAAGTTTTAAAAGCTGTATTGATAGTAAAAATGGAATCCTTTGTCATTAATATTTGAGGTCAACTTTTTGCTTTGACAGATTTGTTTTTCATATCTAGTTTTTGTTTGGCTTATTTCTTATTTCATAATACTATTAAGTGCATTGTCTGCTGTTAGTTTATTTTGGATTCATTTTAGCATGCTCTTGGTCATTCTTACAGTCACTTTTGGACCTTTTCCAGATGCTGATTTTTGGGTTGCAGTGATCCTATTTCCAC